GTTTAGGGTGTTTAGGGGTTTAGGGTCTAGGGTTTAGGGTTTAGGGTTTAGTGGCTCTTAGGACTTTAACTCTTTGAGTGTCTTTGTGAACTATAATAAGGAGACTGAAAGTTCAACTTTTTACAGGGGTTCAGAAGTCAGCCAAGTTCAGTCGAAACCCTAAACGAGTAGGAAGACCGGAATCCTAAACCCCAAACCCCTAAAACCCTAAACTCCTACAGCCCTAAAACCCTAAAGCCCTAAACCTTATAAGCCTTAAAACCCTAAAGCCCTAAAGCCCAAAACCCTAAACCTTAGAACCCTAAACCCTAAACCGGAAGCCTGAAAAAAGGCGCGCCTCCGAGGAACCCTGGATTCTCTGACGCTGAACTTGCGACCTTTCCTGAACCCTAAATAAGGGCTTAGGGTTTAGGATAGGGTTTAGGGTTTAGGGTGAGGTTTTGGGGGTCAGGGTTTAGGGTGTTCTGGTGGCTTTGGGGGTTTAGGGTTCAGGACTGAGGGATTTTGGGCCTACTCTAAGGCTCCTTAGGATCATTTCTTGCGTCCTGAACGAGGTAATTAGGTCTTTTAGGGGCCAGGTCCTAAAACCTAAACCCTAACTGCTAAACTCCTGAACTCCTAAACCCTAAACCCCTAAACCCCCAAACCTTAGGTACCCCCTGAAACCTGACTGTACGCCCCTTAGGTGTCTGCTTAGTCGTTGTTTTTTTTGGTCGGGCTTTCGTGTTGAGGATTACAGCTCCTTTCATGAGGGTCTACAAATCATATCCGTTTCTCATGACCCCTAAACCCTAAACCCTCAACCGAAGACCCTAAACCCTAAACCCTGAGGAAGGGCAATTAGGAAGCCCTGCCCGAATTATTTAGGCCCCTCAGACACCCCTCATCAAGTCTATAAAAGAGCCATTCATATTGCCAAGACCATACTTCGTTCCAAACCTCATGGCCACGATCTGCCGGTGTCCTGGTTGGTTTCGCTTTTGTTTGGGGGCTAGGGACCCTCCAAAACAAAACAAACCTCGACCCCAAACCCTAAACCCTGAACCGTGGCCGTGTTTTGCGGCCCTCCCCAGGACCACTGGGGAGGCTCTTCGAGCGCTTGGCTCGCCCGTGCCCTAAGGGGTGGAAGGTTTCAGCACTGTCCTCTAAAGAGGTGGGCCAGCAAGGCTTCTATGAAGTTTCTATAAGGGCTCTTCGCGAGTTCTACGAAACGCCAAACCCTAAACCCATGCACGCTTAAGCCCTAAACCCCTACATCCGTAAGCCCTAAACCCCCCATCCCTAAACCCCTACACCCTTAAGCCCTAGACTGACGTCGCATAGTCGGGTTTGTGCCCCTCAGATAACAACTGAATGAACACAGTGCAGTACAACTTCTAAGTGTCATGGCCAATGTCTGGCACTGTACCAACGAGATACCGTCCAGGATCCACAAGAGTGCGTCGTCAGTGTAACCACGTTCCACGGGTGCCTGGACGTGCTCGATGCGACCGAGCCATATTTCGCAATGTTTGAGAACGTCGAGAACATTGACAGGCCGCCAGACGACGATCTGCACCAGGGGTTCAGGGTTTAGGGTTATCCTTGTCTGAGGGTCCCCTAATGGAGTAGGGGGGGACTGGGGTCGAGGGCCCCTGTCTGCTTTCCTGAAAAGGAGAACGCGGGAAGGTTTAGAAGGCTTTTGACATAGAAGCCAGAAGAATTATGGCGTCGTCGATAGAAGATCTTCATACGTTGTTTGGTAGCTTCAATATTTGGTATCTGTGGGGGTCTTTGCCGAGAAGGTGAAAGAAGTGAATTAACAGAGGGGTGCAAATACCTAGTCATACTTTTTTCGGGTTATACCCTACTCATCCCTATTCTCACTACCCTTTACTACACGTAGTAGAACCTGAACTGGAAATGGTGACCACGCTACCTAAGAAACAAAATCGATTCATAAATCTTGCTGGGGTCCTACGAAACCGCGACTGCAAAACTACCTAGACCTTTCGCGCGGCCCTTGAAAAGAAGCCATAACCCTTAACCCCTTCTAGAACTTTATGAAACGGTATAAAGCCCTGAAAACCTTCCTCAGAACGCCTATATAGCAGGAACTCAACAGTCCCTCCAGGAATCCGACTTAGAGTAGCATTATAAGTAAGGTGGCCATCGCTACTTGGCGTTCTTCTGGTTGGCTCTTAGGACTTTAACTGTTTGGGGTTCTATATGAACTATAATATGCATGCTAAACGTTTGACGTGTAGGAGGGGTTCAGAAGTCAGCCAAGGCTATATCTACTTGTATCGGCGACGAAGTTGCTCATGATCCTTGAAGCACCCCCAGCAAACACCCCGCTGAACTTCCCAGTAAGAACCCCAAAGCTACCCTGGGGCTGGAGGTCCGACTCTACCCGACAGCTCAGGGCCGAAATTGAGGCTTCTAACGGGCAAGTAGGGGTTAGTTAGCTTCCTAAGAAGGCGCTTTGGATAATTATGAGCAGCAGTAGGATTTTTGGTTTTCGGCTTAAGGTTCTAGGGTTTGCGCGCCTTCAACCCCAAACGCTAAAATTAAACTCTAAGCCATAAACCCCAAATCCAAAGCCACAGCCTCCAGGTTCAAGTTCTAGGGTTTTGTGGTGAGGTCTTTGGAATTTTTGGAGCTGTAGCGTTCTTAGATAATTACCATTAGTCTTCCTTAGGGCTCCTTCTCATAATTAAACTACAGTGTACCCCATACCCCGAAATCTTATTCGAATTATTCTTAGTGCTCCAGTATCCAACTTTTAAACTTTTTGGGTTCTCAACACTTAGTAGTAATCTGAAAGTTTAACTCTGTACTTTCCTGGCTTTTTGGGGAAGTATGCATTAAGGCCGCTGCACGACCCCAAGGGTCCATGTGCAAACATCGTATAAGAGCAAAAAGCAAAACACTCCGTATGGCACAGTAGTCTTCGGGAGGCCTTCGGAAATCAAGGATTTTTGGGGGTCCGAGTCAGGGTGGTAGGTTTCAGAGCTGCTCGGAAAGTTAGTTTGCATTAAACTTCGAAATGTGCGATTATCGACGGGTGAGTTGATTCAGACGGACATCAACTCTGAAGCTCTGAGGCTGTGAATGTCCCCATGCAGCTCACGGTCGCCCTAAACTCCAAAACCCTAGGCCCCAGCTCTGGCATCGTGCCGTCTGTACCAGAAGTACCGGCACCTTGCAGATTCGCCAATACTTGCGAATCATACTGTAGTGGTCGCCTCGGTAATCCTAGTACCCCCTTATAGTCCCTAACCATACAACTATAGTGCAACATCGTACAAGGTACCCTAAGCCCCTATCCTACTTGTTAAGGCCCTGAAAGTTACGATTGCGCACAATGAAGCTGGGACGTCTGGGAGGACGACTTAGCGTATCCAGTCACGCAGGGCACGATCTCCCCTAATCGGTACCCTGGACGGAGCGGTTGGGCCGACCAGAAGATTTGAATGGATGGTCCATTTGCGTAGAAAGGCTCTTGGCAGGCTATTGCGGCGAACTGCCGCCAGAGGGCTCGCAATGCCTTCCTGCTGCTTGAGGCTTCAGCTGCACCGCTCCATTTCAGCACTCTAAAGCAAGCGCTCCAGCCACCGTTTGGCTTCCGGTGGCGAGGATAAGGTCTCGCGGACGGTCTGCTTCACCTTCAAAGACCACGACGTCGCCATTTCTGAGACGAGGGGCTTCGCCTTCGTCAGCGCCGTCGGCAGCGGCGACTCCCACGTGGAGCTGCGCTCGGCGTCCGCGGCTAAGAAGAAGCAGAGGCCGCTCAAAGAGCAACTTTGGCAACCAACGACCAACCTCCTAAGCCCTGAACCCTAGACCCTAAACCCCTAAACCCTGAAAACCCTTAAACCCCTAAACCCCACAACCCTAAATGGTCGGCCGGACATCCTTAGCTTTTTGTGAACTTTACAGGCATTTTATAGCTTTATCACTTTTAGGACGAGCCTTTTTGATATTCATAGGGGTACTAAACGATAGAATTTTAGGGGGGTTAGTAAAGAGCAACCAAGTTAGGGTTGTCAAAGTTCCGCTGCGGGCTGAGAAATTAGTCCTCCAATACCCAACCTTTGAATTTGTTGGGCTCTTAAAGCGTCATCGTAATCTGAAAGTTTAACCTTTTATGTCCCTGGCTTATTGGGGAATTAGGGGACACACCTAAACGAGGCTTGCAAAACCAATTATATGAACCTCAACCCTAAACCCCTAGACCTAAACCCTAAACCCTGAACCCTGAACCCTAAACCCTAAACCCTGAACCATAGGATGTAGAAAGGAAAAGCTTCTAGTGCCAATCCCTCATCTAATTATCAAGCGCCCATGAAGACCGCTTTAAAGCCCTTGTATAGACCAAAAGAAGATTTCTTTTAGGGTGGCTTAGTCTTATTACTGTTTAAGATTTAGGGTTTAGGATTTAGGCTTTGGGATTCAAGGCTTTCACGTTTGAGGCCAATTTGAGGCCCGATTTAAACCGGATGCTCGTAGGCACTGCGGAGGGGCTTCGTCCAGGAGGGCCAAGAGAGAGACGACCAGGCCGGAAGGGTTTAGGGGTTCCTTTCTCTGGTGTTCTTAGGAGTTGTTATTGAATCTTTGCTAAATCCGGAACCCCCAAGGGATTGTTAGGAATTGTGTTTTGAGCAGGGCACTTAAGCTTTGAGGATTGTTTTGAGGGTGCCTATAAGGTTTACAATAAGGGTTCCTGTTCAGACTTTGAAGACAGACTATAGACATAATTGTATGGGGTATCATTTGAGGGTCTTGGCGTTCAGGTGTTTGTGGGGCTCGAGGCGATGATGGGGTTCAGGCGCAAGGGGCCTGTACAATCGAACAAGGCTGCTTCCGGTCTTGAAAGCTGGTAAAACCCTTAACCCTGAATACTTACCCCTAAACTCTAAACCCTTAAAAACCTAAACGTTTAACCCTTAAAAAATTCAACCCTGCACCCCCTACCCCCTAAACCGCTAACCCTTAAAACGTTAAGCCCTACACCCTAAACCCCCTAATCCCCTACCCTAAATCCTAAACCCTTGAACAGTTAAACCCTAAACCCTGAACCCTCAAAAGATCAATCCTAAACCCCCTACCCCCTAACCCCTAACCTAACCACCAAAAGGTTAAACCCTGAACCCCCTAATCCCCTATCCCTAAACCCTATAAACTCTTGAACAGTTACGTAAACCCTGAACCCTAAACCTTTACACGCAAGACACCGTGCGACACGTAATCCCCATGTAAGTCGGCTTCTAGATTCTTCCATATGCAACCTGACATGGCTACGACATCGTCGGAAGCCACCGATCTTTGCCTTTTAGTGAACTTGCTGGGCGAGTCAGCAGCGGTCAGTCGCCCCGTCGATTGCCAGAACAGTCTGTGGTTCAGCAAGTTTAGGGCCATGCGAGAACTTGATATGAGTAGTTCTCTAAATTAGGGTCCCTTTTTTCAGGTCCCCAACATAGTGCGGAACCCATATAAAAAGGACCCTAGAAGGGACCCTAAGCTAGAGAACTACTCATGTGGTTGTGGGTTCGGATCTCGGGGCTTCGTGTTTTGAGGTTCTTCGGCTACCGTGTCATGGGGTTGCCCGTCAAGTACGTCTTTTGCTTAGCTGGGCAAAACCAAGCGAAGCGCTGGTGGAAGCCTAACACTCTATATTGTAGACCCCTTGAACAAACTTGCAGGCAATCTTCAATCCTAGTCAGTGGGTTCATGGTCTAAGAATTTCTTGAATGCGACAACTGCTGATGAAAGCATTTTCAAGTCAAACAGAGAAGCCAATACATAACCATTTCAGAGAGTCTTCGTAGAAAGCATCCAACAATAAGTCAAAACGCAAACCCTGCACAGCCCACGCCCCTCCCAATTCGATTCGATGCAGATCGCCGCGACGCGTGCCGATCCTTCGTTTGCACAGTGGCTTTGGGATTTAGGATGCATGTTTTGCGTGTTTAAGGTTACTTAAAATTTAACAAGGGCTTTGCAAGAGCACATTGGCAAGGTTTCAATGTACTGGTTTGTGTTCAGCTAGATATCATTAAACTCTTTGGGCTTTGATATGTCGTCGATTTAGACATGTTTTCGTTATTTTGGCTTGGTGGTTGCATGGCAGAGGTATTGTTTGGATTGACGGTTCAGTTTCTTAGCTCTTCCTGGCACATTCAAATTACTTATTTGACTTGTTCTCCAGCGTTCCACAAACAGCCGTGAGTCTTGCGACTACTTCGGCAGTAACAGAGTGCAGCATAGGAGCTTCAACCATTTATGCCAATCTTCTTTTTGAGCCGGAAAGGGAATGTGGGTATTGTTGTGAAGGTCTGGATAATCCCAAAAAGCGAACTAACCTAGTTCTCCAACACCCAACCTTTAAACTGTTTGGGCTCTTATATCTTCATCGTAATCTGAAAGTTTAACATTTTTATTTCCCTGGCTTGTTGGGGAAGTAAGCTAACCTCTTGTAGACCAACAAGTTCTGGTTGTTCAGAAGATTGGTCGCGTTTGGCGTCTTCCTCTCCTTATACCACTAGTTTGAAAGCCTAAACCCCAAACCCCCAAACCCTTGAACCCTAAACCCCAAACCCCCAAACCCTAAATCCCCAAACCCTAAATCCCCAAACCCCAAACCTCAAACCCCCAAACCCTACATCCCCAAACCCTAAGCCCTAAAGCCCGAGCACCCGAGAGCTTCTTTCCACAAGGCCCGATCTCCAAAGTCCCTCCTGCAGAAAAGCCCTAATGTAGGAACCTGATTAAGAAACCCTGGCCCTATGTATCCCCAACATATAAGGGTTCATATCAAGATCCCTAATAAAGGCCCAGGGTTTCTTAATCAGGTTCCTACATTATACATCAATCCATGAATCTGTCTTATGAACTGAGGTGGTTTAGGGCTTTAGGCTTTAGGGGTTTAGGGCTTAGGGTTTAGAGTTTAGGGCGTAGGGTTTAGGGTTTAGGGTCTTAGTAGCTGAGTAGGTAACCTTTAACCTTTTTGCGGCCGTATATACTCAACTTGTTTTGGGCTAGAGTACTCAGCCCCTAAGCTGTACTGTGCAAACGTATGAACCTTAAGGACACAAAGAACCCTAAAAGGGTTTAGGGTTCATATACCCTAAACCCTAAACCCTAACATATAGGGCTTCATAGCATAAGTGTCTGGAGCCCCTACCCTTTTGAGCGTCATTTGGTCCTTAAGGAAAGACATCCGGAACCCGGCTCCTCCACAATAACAGAGCACTTCCAAAAAGTCGGATGAACGCCGTATGAAGCCCGAGAACCTTTTTGGGTAGTTTTCTAAATTCGGGTCCCTTTGTTGGTCCCCAATATAGTACGGCACCCTTACAAAAGGGACCCAGAAAAAGGGACCCTTATTTAGAGAACTACCCATATGAAACCCTTCAACCCTCAACCCGTAATCAGGATCTGTTTGAGCACCGCCGGTTGGTCTCCGATCGGCTTACCACAGCAGATCGAGCCTCCTGACCTAAACTTTACAGGGGCTTTATTAGCTTCATAAGTTTCAGCGTTTAGGGTCTTTCCGGAGTTTCTAAGAGTTGGATTGGGTTCTACGAGGGCCCGGTGGCTTTATACTAATATGATTGCATGCACGGTTCATGAGGTTCTGAGACATGTGATACTGCGTGCCAAGGCTTTACTGGGTGTTGAAGTTTTGAGTTTAGACCAGGAGTCATAGGCACCTAATTGAGACTGCAGCTGCTTGGAACCATGGACTTAGGAATCTTCACACGATATAGAGGCCTTAATAAGTACCTATACTAATTGGGGGGGGGGGTTCCTTATTACAATTATAGTAGATTATGCCCCAAAACCCTATTCTAATTATCAAGGCCCCTATATTGAGCAGACTGTCCAGGCAAGGATGCTTCAGGTCTTGTTGCTAGATCGCCGAGGCAATGAAGCTTCACCTGAGTTCCTCATTTATGATTTCCTTCCATAAGTCACTTGGGCCAAAAATATTCACCACACCGCATTGCTACAGCGCTTGTATTGGCGTTAGTCGGGTCTAACAAGATCAACTGTGGTCTCCTTGTCGGTGGGGGTTTAGGGGTTTAGGGCTTAGGGGTTTTGACCGAATCTGGTTTTTAGGGTAGTTCCGCAATTCAATCATCTAAGGTTGAGGCCTGGGCGTTCAGGGTGTTGATTTAAAACTATCGGCATAGTAATTTTAAGGCAGTTCAGAGCTGAAGATGGGTTGCGGCGGGAACCCAGCATTCTAGCCAAGCAAGTAGAGTAGAATCCCGAAAGTTGCAGCATCAATATCCTCGTGTCCTTAAGGTAAACTACAGGGGATCCCAGCACCAATCATCCTAAATCCCTGTTCCAACTTTCTACAATGCGCTATAAGCACCTGCGAGTCTCGATTTGGGGTACCGAGCCCTTGCACAGGAGATCCGGCGATTGGCCGAGTCGCTGGAGTTGCAACGCCTAGCGTTCCTCGGCCGTGCTTTGTTGGCTCTACCTGTAGCCGAAAAGACCTACCTGTTTAAGGAAGCATACATAGAAACCAATGTGAGGAACCCTCAAAAGGTAGGTCTTTTCGGCTACAGGTAGGGCATGTACGAAGAGGATCATGGGACTCACGAAGTGGGGTTTATGACCCCACTTACTAAGTCCCCTGAACCTCCAAGTAATCCTTGTAGGCTTAAACATACATGTGGAGCTTAGGTACCCGAGTTGGGTAGGCTGCATGTAATAAGATCTTCGGGAGATGCCAAATCCAGGAACAGTTGGGAAAATCTCCAACCGTCTTGATGGATCCAGGTTCCCATACTTGTTGCCTCGTGTTACCTGCTGGTGTGAATAGGGGGGCTTTCCCTCCCACAACCAAAAGGCCCTGAAACTCCGAAAAACCCTGGAATCCTAAACCCCAAAACTCCAAAACCCTAGAATGCCAAACCCTTGAACCCTACACCTGAATCCTACAACGTTAGAACTCTACACCCGAGAATCTTGAACCCTGAAGTTCTAAAGTCTTTGTATCCTAAACCCTGAAATGCTAAACCCTAGAAGCCCTAGAATCCTAAACCCCAAAGACCCTAAACCTAAAGCTGTCCCTAAACCTCAAAACTCTATACCCTAAAACATCCTAAACACCTAAAGACCCCAAACCCCCAAGAATTTGGCTTTAGGGTTCAGGGTGCAATATAGGGGCTTCGATAATCACCTATACTATTTTGGGGGCTCCTTATTCCAATTATAGTTTAATTGGCCCCCAAACCCTAAACCCTAAACCCTAAACCCTATTCTAATTAGGAAGGCCCCTATATTAGGGGTTTAGGGTTCATGGTTCAGGAGTTTAGGGAGTTCAGGGGATTTGGAACATTAGGGTTTAGGACTTGGGGTTCAGGGGTTTAGGGGTCTAAGGTTCTAGTTGTTTAGAAATTAGGGAGTTTAGAGTTAAAGGGCTTGCTTCTTCGAGCTTCGGCGGATGTAGTAAAGTGGGGTCATAAGCAGAGTTGTACGTACCCTGAAGGGGATCCTGATTCGGGTTATGACATCTGTTTAGGGTTTTAGGACCCTAAACCCGAAACCTCATGATCTCTACAAAACAGCATGGAAGAACTACGTCCTCAGTGCCCCGACACCTCAAGTAATGAAAGGCTCAGGTGGCCTGTTCTCCTCAACTGGAGTCCCCAGACATGCGGGATGTTTTAGGATATGAGGCCTTACACGGTTTAGGGTTTAGGGTTTAGGGTTTAGGGTTTAGGGTTTAGGGTTTAGGGTTTAGGGTTAAAGCCGCAAGACCCAACCCTCCTAAGACTTGTGCGAAACCTTACGAGCCCTGAAAGCCCCTTGTAAACCGTCAAGAGGCTTTGTACCCAGACCGCCGGAAGGAGTCGAAAAGTAGATCCCCTGATTTTGGACCCTATACTACTGAGGGGTACTTGAAAGGAACCTCTTTCAAGGGATCTACTTTCTAGATCCTCCCGAATGTCTGGGTAAAGACCTTATGGTATGAAACCCTGTAAGAACGGCCTGAAGCCCTTCCACAATCCTGAATCCTTAAGCCCCGAAGCCCTGAACCTTTTGGGTTTAGGGTTTAGGGTTTAGGGTTTAGGGTTTAGGGTTTAGGGTTTAGGGCTTAATCCCCAACGATGGTTGGACAAAGGCTCTGCGAACACAGCTTGAAACCATGAAACCTTAAGCCCAGTGAAACCCAAAGCCCCTAAAGCAAGAAACCCCTCAAAGGAACCCTATAGACCCCTTATTAAAGGATCCCCGCAAAAAAAAAAAAAAAACCTTGAACGCTAAACCCTAAACC